ATATGATAAGAAATCACAAGTCATGTGTGGGGGAAGCTCATCCTTGTCCAAATCCTAAGCAGTAAAATAAAACCTTTTAAGTTAAGATTAAACATAAAAGCTAAAAAGAATATTAGTAAAAGACAACACAACATACCAGTTCGCCTATCAGCACAACGTTTTCTCCACGAATCATGTATAGACCTAGTGGAAGGTCACAATAGATATCATCAACAATGACTCGCTCACAAATCACAAGTACAACATTAGCTAAAAAAATATAAAGACAGAGTTTTCAGTTAGATATGACCTGCTTCTGCTTTAGGCTCTGAGGAAATTCATCAAAGTTGGCAATGAAATACGGAAACCCATAACTAAAGAAGAAATTAAATTATAGCAGATCAGGGTTAATCTTATTTTAGCAAGTGTCCTGTACAATTATAGCCTTAAGTTTTTATGATTCATAGAAGATTAAAACTAAGATTTCATAGACCACAAACATGAAGTAAAAAGGTTAGCTCCTTTGATCTTTTTTTCAATGGCCACTACTTAGTATCATATATAAAGCCTTTTCAAGTCATGCTTGAATATTAGTGGACAACTACGCTATAGATCTAATACTAACTAATTTAGTGCTAGGTAAGAAAATTCAACATTAAATTCATGAACTATTATGTTAAGTTCAATTAGGAAGGGTCACTTAATCAGTCACAGTAAACTAAAACTGAAAATGGTGTGAATGGCAAAATAAAAGAAATACGAATAGTGGAAGAAAAAAGAAAAATTGACTTTAACGAAGAGGATGGAAGGACATTGATTTAACACTAAAGATTAAGCAATATTGATCTTCTTTACTCACCAAGGAGAGTTAATTGCAAATTCACCAGAGGAAGCAATTGCCTTCGTTTTGCAAAATAACCTCATCATGGATTATTTTTACCTAATAATTTCACCAAAGAAACAATGATGAAACAATGATTATATCAAGGATGGAATATCAAGGATGGAAAGAATAATTGTAGAATGAGATACTTGATTGAGGGATTTTAGCAAACACATTCCAAACAAAGTATTGATTCATATTTAATTGCAGCATAAAATGCAGGAATGAAACAAATCAAGAAAGAAAACAGAGAAGAGAACTCATGCTAGTAACAACATACATACGGACACTACCTTCTCTTATGTCTACCATAACTGCTCGCTCTTTCAATACGGACAGAGGCTAAAATTGTAAAAAATCGCTAATTTAAGAAACAAACTATTGACTGGTTCAATCTACCTGATGAAGGCGGCATTTGATCTGAGATTGAAGAAGAAACACAGAAATTTGTGGGATCTGGTGCAATGCGGCAAGACGCTGCGATGCAGTCCGTCGAAGTGCTGCGAGGTGCGGCGATGCGGGGAAGTGGAGGAGGTGCGATGATGAGGTGGGGCTGAAGATTGCAAAAGATGAGTCGTAAATGAATTTTGAGAAACCCTGAATTTGTGTTAGAAACGTAAGTAACCGTCGAAAGTAGTAAATGAGGGAGAGAAGTGATTAAAAGGTGAGAGAGGCGGGAAAGAGTTAGGGAGAGGATTTTCCCTTTAGGTATATAGGATAGGATAGGATAGGATATCCCAAAAAAGCTTTGTCCATGCTAAAATAGGTGAACATGTCATAATACGTAGTACATAACATTGGTCAAGCACTCAAGCTCTGTGTATCCACCAAAACACACCTTACACGCCCTAAAGTAAATCTGGATGAACTGTTTCTGAGAATACAATCTTTACCAGTTCTCTACCAAAGATTCAGAAAAAAGAATATTGCAATGGAGAGATCAGCAAAGGACATTACAGCCAACGGTATACACATTGATGCATGTAGCTCAACTACTAAATGGCAAGGCCACGCTTATATATCATTACAAAAAACTAGTAATTCCACCCGTGCTACGCACGGGAGTGAAGATGTTTGGATAAATCATAGATAAACTTAAATAATTTCATAGTCAATTAAGCAAATTCAAAACATAAAATAAAAAATTAAAACAAAATAATCAAATTAAAGCATATAATAAAATAAGTTTCATATTTAATACGAAACTAAAAAAAATAATGCTCAACGTTAAGTACAAATCATCATGCAATATACGTAGCAATGAGTATGCATGTATGTAAAGCAAGGGAACTATAAATTAGTATAAACTTCTTTGTATACTACATTCAATGCTGACTTCGTTGGTTTCCCTTCTTCGTCACATATAACAAACTTTAATCCAGACGGACTTGTTACTCTCGAGACCGCCACGTACAACTGTCCATGGGTAAAAACAGGTCGACGGAGGAAGATGCCAACATTTTCCCATGACTGTCCCTGGCTCTTATTAATGGTCATTGCATAGCTAACCATTAACGGAAATTGCCTACGCTGAAAAGTGAACGGGAGACTAATGTCTGATGGTGTCAAAGTAAGGCGGGGAATAAGAAACTTCTCACCAGCATTTTCTCCGTGCATCATCTGAGCCTCAATAATATGAGCTCCAAGTTTAGTGACCAGAAGCCGTGTGCCATTGCACAATCCAGATGAATGATCTATATTCCTCATAAGCATCACAGGAACTCCAACTTTCAGCTTCAGCTCATGACTTGGCAAGCCAAAACATTTGATACTATTAAGAAATTCAGGAGAATGTATCTCGTGCAAGAGATCATTACTATCCGAGTCAGATGAAGAAGCTGAATCTGAGCTAAGGTATGTCTTTAACTCTGAATCTATCTTGCTCAACATGAAATCGTTGACCTTATCAACCTCATCTATGGTCGGAGCAAGAATAGCCCTGGAATTAAGATAATTAATCGGATCACTCTGGGTTAAGAAATCAGGATAAATAGCTTGAACTATAGATTCAACGGGATCAGACGTCATTGGAGCGATCATATCGTCTGGTATATCAATGAGTGATTCTCCATCTTCATTTTCAGCAAAAGCCCCGTCGCCAATCTTCAAAATCCACTCCGCAAAAGATTGGATAGTTGGTCCATCCGGCTGGCCAAGCATCCTCGCGAGCCTCATGTTTTTAGTAAGCCTCACTACAGTACAATGTGACCACAGGAATGAACTGTTCAGTGCAGCGTGCACAATATCCTGTCTTTTGCCTTTTGGTATCACAGGAAGAATCTGTCTAAAGTCACCACCAAATACAATCGTCTTCCCACCAAAAGGCAAGGTAGCGTCACAATGGCTGGAGTAACGAAGCACGTCTCTCATACTCCGGTCAAGAGCTTCGAAACAGTATCGATGCATCATCGATGCCTCATCCCATATAATCAACTTAGATAACTCTATCAGCTTAGCCAACGGACTACCATGTTTTATGTTGCACATGGAGTCTTCTACAACACTAAGTGGAATTGCAAACCTCGAATGTGCGGTCCTTCCTCCAGGCAACAGAAGCGATGCTATACCACTTGAAGCAACGTTAAGAACTATATCACCACGAGATCTAACAGCCGCAGACAAAGTCCTCCATAGATATGTTTTCCCAGTTCCTCCGTGACCATATAAAAAGTAGAATTTCCCGTTTCTACAATCTACAGATTCCATTATTCTGTCATACACAACACGTTGTTCATCTGTCATCTCGGCCAACAACTTTGCATGCTCCTCCATCAAATACGATTTATCATACCGCAGCTCTTCATGAATGAGAACTTCTTCAAGCGAGGGCATTTCATCATCAGGTAGCAAGGGTACGCCAGCAAAATCACGTAGTGATCTACCTCTTGACTGCAAGAGCTTCTGAATCTCCATCAAACAATACTTTTCAATTTTCTCTTGATCCAGTTCAAAATCTGCAGTAACGCATTTAAATATTTTATTAGGTTAGTTAAGATTAAACTAATAAATAAAATATTCCACAATATATACATTTCATCACAACGAAATTAAACAAACAATACTTTTAACTTTAATTAACATCTAAATAAAGAAAACATGTTTACTAATTCAGTATTTAAATATTGTATATTTTATTAAATTCATCACTCAACATGAAAAGAAAACATGTGAGTTTTATTTCTCCGCCCCTAGGTCCTCAAACATACAGGGTGAGTCATGTGGATCTTTGTTCGTGCTCAAAATATTTGTAACATATAAAATTTAAATATTTAGAAACTAAAATAAAACATTATTAGTGATTTATGTTGACCAAGTGAGGATGTTTTTACTTGGATTGAAATTGGTGTAATCCTAAAAACAATTCAAGTAAAGAAATCATGAATATTAAATAGATTCATCAATTTGTGACAGGAGGTAACCGAGGTAGTACGTATTATTAGAATCTTTTTTCTTAACCAACGTACAAAGTATACCCTTGATGAAATATTTTTCAACAAAGACGGAAGTCTATGCTTTTGACTACTTTTATTAAAATATACCACGTTTGAAGTTTGAAGTCGGTGTATGCAAAGTCAATGTAATACCTTTTCACTGGGAAAATATACCACTTTAGTTATACAGGCATTCAACTCTATCATTTAGATACAACAGGGCAAAAGTCCTAGAACATTACACCAAAACTATTATGTGGAAAATGGAAAGCATGTAAGAGGCACAAATTAATGCCAATCTGCCTCATCCACCCATGTATCAGAACATTACACCAAAATTTGAATTGCCAAGTGCATCTTTTTATAGTAAACAAAGTGATCTGTTTAACTTAAAAAAAACATAACAAATAACCTGGAAAATTCTAAAGTAATAGATCAGAAGATGAATATCAAAATTTAAAAAAGCTCAAAATTAAAAACAAAGCATTCCCTATAAAAATTTATGTGAACTATTTTAAGAAGTGTTAGAAACACATATTAACTATTGAGGTAATAACAACTCAAGCTAGCATATTAACTTAAGAGTTTACATCCTCAGAGTTAAAAAGTAATGATATAAAAAGCTTCTTGATTTAAAAGCTTTAACTTAAGCGTACCGTGTAATGTCTTCTGCGAAACCCTGTCATATGATTTTGAAATTCAGAAGAAGCTATTTAAGTATAGTGATATAGAATAAATGACATTGATGTCATTATCACCCCCATAACACAAAAGGAAAAGTGTTGTCATCAACAAACTGAATAAAAGAATAATAACACTGTCTATTGGACATTTGGACGTACACATAAAATAAATATGGAAAAAACTCCATAAGCAAGTATGTATGAAATTTATACTGAAGTGATTAATTGTCTTGCTTATTGAAACCAAAATAAAAATTAAATCATGCAACGCATTATTCCTAAGTACCAAAGTTCATCAAAGCAGAAAATGAATTAATGCATGCGGAGTCACATCTCAATCTAAATCTCCTTCAACTTCTTCTTAGTCGAGCTTTGTTCCATTTCATCAGATTCATTTTCATCGGTAACATGTCTCTTGGACAAAACCGACTCAGGGGTATGATGAGATTCAATATCTTGTGAGCTTGGCGTCTGAAAAATAAAAAAGACACCTGGATCAATTCCTTTTCACTAAATACGCATGCATAATAATCTATTTAAAACAACATTGCAAATATTTTACCATATTTGATTCGACATTAGTCTCTTCATCACCCACCAAATCAAGATCGGAATCTGAGTTATATACCTAATACGAATCAAAGGATAATAACCAAGCGTTAGTTTTTGAGTTTTTTTATTGCATAAATACAACAATAAAACGAAGTTATGAGCAGTTGCAAAAACCAAATTCATCTTTCTTGTGAGGTTAATTTATTAGTTTAACAGTTAAGTTCAAAAGTAGTATAACAGCATCTTAAAAAGGTATTTACACAAGTGTGTGTTAACTATCGATTGTTTGCACGTTTGTAGAAACTCATTTCAAAGGGGCTACTTTCAAATGCAGTCATTTAAAAGGGAAAATTTTACTGTGCCAGAAACAATCATCATTCTTTCGGTTTTCATAATCTTACCATATCTACCATATCTTTTATTTGTGCGGCATGCTTGGATAATGAATATCACTGGACCAGTAAATGAAGTAGCCAAAAACCTCTCGACTTCAAGCACCAGGTATCCATACGAAGTACATAAGATAGTTTGGCCCCTTCATAACAGTATTACGGTGTAAGTATAGAAAAATTTTAAACCATTATGACAATTTATTCATGCATTACAGATGAAATAGAGTTTTGAAGGAACTTAACTCCACGTTTGCCAAATGAAAATTAGTATACCAATCATCCCTTTGTGTCTTTTGCTTTTTGAACTCTTGTTCAACATCATATGCGCCAATCACATCTGCGTTCATTCGATTTGACATTATCATCAATAAGTGGAGTAGAACTAATTTCGGGCATAAATGATCTAAAGAATAAAACAGAAAAACTGAACTTTTAGTATATTACTGTCATACAGAAATTAATAATTTAAAACAAAAACATACCTATCAAAAAGGAGATTCACAATTCTGCATCTTCTGGATCTCCGCGAAGCTTGTTAAGTTAAATCTAATTACAAAGCTAGGATGTTGCGTTTGTGCTCGAGGTTGCATTTTAGTGAACACCGTCAACTCAAAGCGGTATGGGTGGGCAGAGATCCTATACTTTCCATCATTCTCTTTAACTTCTAGGTGATTGACCACATAAATTGATCCTTCTTCAATAGTGTCGAATCGATGACTTAGTCGAATCGGAATAGTGGCTTGAATTGTCGTACCCTGTTAAAAGCATCAACAAAACAAAGCAATCAGAATCTTTTCATGCGTTAATTCTGCCTATTTATTCAAATGTTTTTTACATTTGATGAAGATTTGAACATCACTGCCAGGGCATTTTTTTAAGGTTAAAAAGACTTTCTTTTGCCTATCAATGCCAAATAAGCTTATAATATTTTTATTAAATTTTGAAAGGTACATGAGTTAAATACAATAGTTGAAACTGGAACGCTATTTTGTATCAACTGAGGGCTTAATTTTTGCAGGTTGCATGTTTTCTTAATTTCTGCTTGCTCCTGCTAATCAGTTTATAGTTTTATATTTTTCAAATTTTCATAAAAACTAATATCAAATACAACAAATTAGTTTTCAAAAAATGCCTTTGAAGTTTGAATGAGAAGATGACACACACATATTTGAAAATAGATGCATTTTAAACAAAATTCATTTCAAGTTTAAATGAGAAGATAATTGTTAATAGTATAAATTTCGAGTCCACTGTCAGAACATGAAAATGAATATGCTAAGCTATAGAACATGTTAACTGGACACCACTGTAGTTAAAAAAAAATTATTTGAACCATGTCATTGTGAATTTAAATTCATGCTATATTACTTATATTAATAACACTAATGTATATGATATGGTGTATCTTTGATATTAAAAAATTAGTAAATTATTTTGAAAATCAAGTATCAATATAACAACTGAATAATGCACAATTCGTTTAAAGTTTAAATCTACTGGAAAATATTGGTTTAACCCAATGTATTCTTTTTGGTTTATTTATCAACCTAATGTCTTATATATGTTGTATAGTTAATGTAAAAGTATGAGCAGGAAAATATCTGTAACCTTTTCATCCATGAAAATCATTTCAATGGATTTGATGGCTCGATTTTTCTCTCCAAAAAGGGCATTCCATTTCCGAGTGACTCTCACCAAGAAAGCAGCCTTGCTTGGTAAGTTCTTCACAACATCTCCCAGATACACCTTTGTAGGTGCCATTGTTCCTATAATGAAGTAGATGTGAAAGATAAAAATAAGTAGAATTCATTAAGTGGTTGAGAAATTTAAAAAACATGAATAAATTTACAAAAATAGAAAAAGTAATATATAAGATCACAAGAGTAATTAATATAACATTCAGAAATGTCATAGATAAAAAAGGATCATAGAATAATCTGCTAGTACGGCTAATGATAACTATCATCATAATTTAATTATTTTACTCTCACTCAATAAAAGAACAGGTAGTTTTTTTGCAATAAGATATTTATAATAAATCTCGTATTGAAATCCAGTTGCTATACCTAGATTAAGATAATCATTATCATTAATTAAATAATTTAGGCGGCCATCTTTTTTCTTTTTTGATGAAGGAATTAATTAAAACTAACATAAATAATATATAAAAGATAATCATTGAATAATCTGGAGTGACTCCTAATGATAAATATTAGAACTTTTGTATTAGTGAATAAAAAAGTGGCAATCTATACATACACAATTTATCTTTATTCATTAAATAATTAATAAATAATTAATAAATACGTTCATATAAAATCTCAAAAACGATTAATTAGTATAAAAATCACAAGTGTATTATACAAAAGAGGGTGACAAAATAATCTGGTAAGATTACCAATGCTAAATATCAGAATTCAAATGTATTCACAAAATATAATAGATGTTACAAATACAATCTAAAATTTAAAAAAATAGAAGTAGTTTGTAAACAAAAATATAAAACTAACACGCAGTATTGCTGTAATTTAAAGACATGTATAGAATATACAATTACCTCGTAATTGTTGAAACTTGAAATATGAGAAAAAATGAGGAAAACGGCAGGAGGTAATTACGCAAGAGGTATGGCGATGGTATTGTGATAAAGCAGTATTTATAAATGGGTTTTATCGATAAGATGAGAATGCAGTGGAATTAGGACTCTACTTCTTAAGTACGTTGTTTTTGATAGATAGAGCCGGAAATTTTATCTACAGAATAGGGTTACAGGTCATTATAAATAATTTAGAAATAATTAAGTTAATAATTAATGTATATAATATTGTGTAGGACTCTACTACTTAAGCTCGATTTTTAATAGATGCGGAAATCATCTAAAAAAATAGGGTTACCGTCTATTATTAATAATGAAGAAATAATTAAGTTAATAATTAATGTATATAATATTGTGTAGTGGAATTAGGACTCCACAAATAAAGAAGTAATGTAAAGAAAATAGGGTTCGGCCATTATTAATAATAATGAAGTAATTATTAAGTTAATAATTAATGTATATAATAATTACAAAAAAACAGTAATCAATATACACTGATTATTAAGGAGCAATCTTAGTAACTTTGGGTTACTGTTTTTCATATTAATTATTAATACGATAATAGAAATCTAAATTTTAGATACAAATCTAAATTTTAATATTTCTATTATTAATTATTAATAAATATATTAGTTCACCTATATTACAATAATCAGTAATCATTTATTAATTAACTGCAGTACGGCCATCATTTTTAATTCAGAAAACATTATAAAACGCATCAAAAGAACATTTAAATACATCTCACATTAAAGACTATTCAGCTTTAGCACATAAGTTTTTATCTCAAGGGTTAAATTTTTTATAATTACATAGGCTTAAAATTTTAGTATTTCTGACATTTTAAGCTAGTGAAGTAAAATTCAGAAATACATGCTCTTTTAAAAACATCTGTAGTGTGGATGGAAAGAAATACATTCAGCGGCTGAAATGAAATACCAAGAGTATCAAATCAAGATCATTCCATCATTGGTAAAAACACCAAACAGAGAAGGGGGTAAAAACTATCATTCCAGTGCCGAAAAATTTAAAAGAAACTGACCCAATCTGAAGAGAGTATAGCAGGAAAAAAAGAAAATGAAAAGAGCATCCAATCTGAAGAGAACATTATATAAAGGCCTACCTTTTAATTAGTTCTTGTTGAAGATGAAGACTCTAAATCCTGAAGTTACTCACATTCTGGTTAGAAAACATTTCAGAGCAAACAAACTGATCAAGTTTTTTTGTCTGCTCAGTAGAGATGGCGACGCATGAAGGGTGGTACCTTTAGATGGAAATCAATACAAAAAAATTATACTAAATAGAGAAAAGTGGATAGCCAAGATATTTGTGATCAGATTGAAAGCAAGGTTAGTAATGCTTTAGACACATAGATACTATGGAAATATGATTACAGAGAGCTAAATATTTGATACAAAAGTTCAGAGAAAAGGAAGCAAATAAACAATTGGACTTTGTAAACAACAAAATTAAAGTGATGGAATGACAACATGAAGTAAAATCAGTATTCATATTGCACAGATGTCAATACAAAAAAATTTATACTAAATGGAGAAAAGTGGATAGCAAAGATATTTGTGATCATTAACATGTAAAACTATAGTTAATAAAACATATATATTAAACATAAATAAAGAACATAATAGTCTGAGCAATTATACAACTAATTCTCTGGGGCAGATTTGATCCTCTTCAGCTGCACGTGAGAGGTGAGCCTATGTTAAAATGGAAAGGGCGTTTGTTATATGTGAATATTGAAAAGTGTAGGAATGAAAAGTATAGGAATAAGTGAATCAAAGAACAGATTCATACCCTTTAATTGCAGTATAATCTAGAAATGTATTATCAATCTTTCTTTTATTCATTCCAATTACAGTAGGTCCATCAACCTGAAGGAATTCATCTTCCTATTTCAAACATAGATAACCTGAAGGTATTCAGCTTCATATTCCAGCTTACAGATTTCCTAACTAAGGATCTCTTCCTCAGATCCTTTTGCTTCATTTTTTTTAACTGCATTTGAAAGTTTTTAGTCTTTCCGATATTATTCTCAGACAAATAAATTTGAGATTATTTTCTGATATTAAAAATAATTAAGATTTGCATTTTAGGATTCTGCATGTTGTGTAAAAAAAGAAATTACTTCTTCATATTTATAGCACATGGTGAAGAGACAAAAAGTAAATATGGGTTAGAAAGTGCTGTTAAAGTAATGAACATCTTGTCATCACAATACACAAATTATATCTAGAGAAAAAAACCAATAACAGCTTAGAGTAAAAGGCAAAAAACATGGTTCAAGCATGGTTCAAAATACATGAAAATACAGCACAAAAGAAATATTCTAGTACGCCCTAAATCAAAAATTGTACTTATTCACCACTTGTAATTTTGGTCTTCTCAAATCATAGCCCAAAAGAAAGAATGAAACGTTACTGGCATGGAAAATAAAGTTTTATTTCAATGCAAGAGGCTGAGAAAGAATACTAACTGGCAATAGTGAGATTGACTGAAATGGTGAGTATATTGGCTGGAATAATCTGACAAATAAAAAGAGAGAACATTGTTTATATGGTGACTGGAGAGTAGACTAACTTGAACCTGAGCATCTGACAAATTGAAACAGAGTTGTTAGCCAAAAAGTTGGGTGAGAGCAAGGGAAATCTAGATAGAGATGAGAAAAGCAATTTCGGATTTATAGCCAGAGTTACTTCATTTTTTTAATTTTCTCTTAGGGCTGTCTGTGGTTCATCTTGTGATGCATAGGTGACAAACCCAAAATCCTTTGATATTTTTGAAGTTCTATTAGTGACTATTTTAACTGAAAACAAAAAATACACACTTTTTTTAGACTGTGGCAGAAGGGCTTCAGTGTGTGTAACAATCAGATCATAGATGAACAGCCATCTCACTAAAATCTGCTAATTAAGATTATTCATATTTTCAGCATCAACCCCAACGCCACTCACGATGATACGAAACAAACAGATCTCCATCGTAACCAAGAAAATCTGGCTATACACAAAGACCACTCCATGTATGTGTTGTGATGCTTCATTTTAAAAACTGTTACTTAAACAAAGAAATTGGGTGTGCTCAGACAACCAAGGGTTTGTCTTCAAACAAAAGATCAGAAACTGTAGTCCACACTATTGCTTCACCACAGCATACCATATCCACGTAAATGACTTTGGTCAATTGAAATAAACATCGAATATACTACGAAGTATATATGTAAAGGAATCTCCAGGCTATTCAATTGAAAGATCTAATGAAATTAAAAATATACTACGAAGTATACTACCAACTATATCACACAATTCAATTGAAATATCGTACCTTAATGTTCTAACAAAATCCTCTACAGCTCCAAAAAAACTGAGGGAGCTATGAAGAACTTGGAGATTGAAAGGAATCTCCAGGAAGATGAATCTTGATACTATGATTGAACTGGACGAAGCTTGATACTAAAAAAAAAAGGATGACACCCCATCCTTGAGGGCCCCCAACACCGACCGGACGACACGATGGGAAGCTTGATACTAAGATTGAACTGGATGAAGCTTTTATGCAAATCCGAAATTGGATGAAGCTTGATACGAAGGCGGGGCAACAAACTCCGGAACTAAAGGCCATCTCTGTGTAGACCTAGCAAATAGAAAATCAGTTAAAAATCAATCCGCACAGTTTCAATCGGCTGAATTTATTAAGGTGCAATACCTAGGCTTGAGACTTGATGAATTCGAATTGGGAGAAGAAATCCTGGAAATGGGAGGAGGCATTTCTGGCGTAGAGAAGAGAAAGAGAATGCCTCTCTCCGGATAGGTGTGGTGCGTAAAGCTAGGGTGTGATACGGTGTGGATTGGAAGGGTGAGAAGCCGATAAGGTGAGAAGAAATTCATCGATGGAAATGGGAGGAATCGTTAGTGGCGCAGAGAAGAAAGAGGTGGAAAGTCGATAAAGTGAATTTACGGATCAGGCCTTAGAACTGGGCGGGAGAAATTTCTCTCTCTAGTGTAGTGCTTTTAGGTATAGGATAAAATATACACCATGAGAACAAAGAAAAAGAATTACAAATACCTCGTATCTGAAATTAAATGCGTACTTTCCATTTATTAATAAAACTTCTTTATATACGGAATTATTAAATGAGTATCACTCAGGTTAAATGTTTCATTAACAAATCTTCTACATAAAACCACAATAACCGAAACATACTGCCAGTAAAATATCTAGAATTACACTTACAAAGACTGATATGAGTGATATCAGAATACAATTCGGATACGTTCGAATATAATTACCATATTGCTTTCACCTTGGTTGAAGTTGCTTTGTCTTGTGAATATTGAATCTCAGCATGAGTGTCAACAGGATAAATCCCTACTTAAGTATAAACAGGATAAATCCCTGCTTGAGTGCCAACAAAAAATGACCTACAGAGAAGCAACAAAACGAACCCACTCAAGAATTTACAAACTATAAACAGTTTGAAACAAAAACATGTGGCGTAATACAATGAAACCCAAATCAAATGACTCTTCGTTGGCTTGTTCCTGAATTGGGTGTTATTTCCATTAAGAAGTTAGATCATAGAATAAAGATCACACCAAAATACTTATAAAGACCACACTATAGTACTTAACTGTCAATGAAAGACAAAGTAAACACCTGGAAGAGTTAGTACAATAGTGTAACTTAATAAAAGCGGGGCTACCTAAACTTCAGAACTAAGGAAAAACTATATACATTGAAATTACCCTTTCAATGAGGCAACGGTAGTAGACTTTGACACCAGAACTTCTGCAACACATACACTTGATTTTTACTTCATTTTCCATCGATTGTAATTCTCAAGAATTTATGAAAACCATAACTGTTGAACATATAAAAATGAATTTTGAAATTAAGATTCCCATGAATATATTGGATAAGGATATTAATAATTGAATTTGGATATTCAATAATTTTTTCTAGTGAATTTTTGTGGTATTTCTCAGCGGCAACACTTGTTACATTTCGTAACGCAATGTATTGTTAGAAATGTATTACTCTGTACATTTTATGTTTAAGTATGTACTAATATGAAATAATATCTAAATTCGAACATGTAGAGAAGATGGAAAGCTTCATACTCTTTCACCAAAAAGTGCATAATCTATAAGAATACCTTAAAGAGGAACCTCAAGTTAGAAGAGGTTGAGATCTATCGCAAATCTATTTGAAGAATTGGAGTTAATTTGATCAGCTGGAGCATTCTTTCACGGTAAATTAAAACCTTGGCAGTAAAGAATATGTGCAGAAGAGGTCAAAAATTCTACCTACCGATCGAGAAGAAATCTCAACTTTATGAAGAAGATATACATTTACATAATATCCCTGAAAATGAGCGGGAAGACAATTAACTCAATTAATTAATATATAGAAGAGTTTATTTGATAAGCTAGAGCATTCTTTCACGGTAAATGAAAACCTTGGCAGTAAAGAATATGTGGAGAAGAGGTCAAAAAGTTTTGCCTACCGATCGAGAAGAAATCTCAACTTTATGAAGAAGATATACAGTTACATAAATATCCCTGAAAATGAGCGGGAAGACACTTAACTCACTTAATTAATAATCCCTCCGTCCCGAAATAAATCTCTTGCTTTCCTTTTCGGTCCGTCCCAAAATAAATGTCTCACTTCTTGAACTTCCTTATTTGGTAAACAAATCTATATCAAACAGTGTCAAACAGTGCCAAACAGTGTCGCTACAATGCAAAACAATGTCGCTACAGTGCCAAACATAGTCGCTACAGTGCCAAATAGTGTGCAGTCAGAATCATTTTCTTAATCTTTGTGAAAGTCAAGCCAGGACGTTTATTTCGGGACGGAGGGAGTATATAGATGTAGATATAGATTAGACTTGTTAATTTGTATTTAGACTATAAAATAAAAATAAAAACTAAAGCCAAGTTCATTATTTAAAATAATGTAATGTCAGTAATGAAGTGTAAAACAGAATTCTCACGTAAGATTTTGGATAAAACTGAATGAGATCGAGATTCAAGTAAAACAAACAAAAAGATATTAACATATGCAGTAAAATTATGTAAGAACTTAAAATCCCTAATATGTAAGAATACCGATTTTTCACTTCTGATTAAAAAACAAAACTATTCATCTCTATTCACAGTAAAATATTCAATCATTCTTATTAAATTAGTAAATACGCATAAGGAAATACGGAGTATCAATTATTTGGTGTAAATGGAGTTTCTAAGGTAGGATTTTCGGATCCATTTATAACTGAATGAAATTAGGTTTTCAAGCTTAAAATGTGAGAAAATGTAGGCAGTAAAATAATCTATACACGCAATATATATCAATAGTCAATACCTATAATTCTGAGGGGATTCTTTGAGCTTCTCTTGATGGTTTGTTCAACCATAATCTTTCTTCTTTCCAAAATCTCTTCCAATCTGCGCTGGTGCGGGCGAGAACAGGCCACAGAAGTTTTTTTGTCTAGAGAGGTAGACTGGTGTGGCGAGCGGGAGGCACAGATGCCAAGTTTTTATCGGGGAGGTGAAGTAATGCGGCTGTGAGAAAGTTGTGAATGGGAAGAAGGTGAATTAGGCATTAACCTAGGCAGAGAGAAATTGCTTATTTAGCGGATGATTAAGTGATGAATGAATGTGCGGGAGAAATCTCTCTCCTATTTAGTGCCTTTAAGTATATAAAGATAAAGATAAGGATTTGTAAACTGGGAGGTTACCAATAAGATAGCTATGAGTATTGAAAACACATAAACTGAACTCAAACAAAAAGTTTACATACAAACAAAAAGTTTACATACTTAAATCAACCATGTACAAATGCAGAAAACATACTTTCTTGTACAGCAACTGAGTTATTCATATAATAATAATATATGAAATTATTTCTGGATCAATATTTTCTCTAATTGAGTTGCAAAACTAATTAGAACTGATTAGCTAGATGGTGAAATCATTCTTTATTAGAATTCAGTTGCAAAACTAATTACAACTGAATAGCTAGATTGTACAGGTTAGAGACATTTGATCAAATGCATATATTGATCATTGTGAAATGAAATTCATGCTCAATTGGCCAGATTTTGGAGTAGAAAAAATGTTTAGGAGTCAAACTGAATTTTAAATGTCAAAAAAATTAGGGGAGATGTTACAAATATAAATCCAAAAGTGAAAAAGATAGAGAAGAGATGTTAGGAATAAGCAAGGGAAAGTTGTACTTGTAAGACTTTCTCTATTTATCATATATACATGTAGGTTATTTCCTTGATGAAATTCATGTTTTCATATGGTCGGATTTTGTACAAATATTGAGAAATAGTAAAAGCCGAATGGAAAGATACAGTAAAGAACTAAATATGTACAAAACTACTTCTAACTTGCAGACAAATTCAAATGAGAAAGAGTAAAAGCAGACTGGAAAGAGACTGGAAAGATACTGTGAATATTACGTTTTCATTTTATGTTGAGTTAGATTGATTCACTTTGAGGTTCTTTAAATTGATTCACTATGCATGAGTTAATCAATAAAATATTTTTTCCCAGTTTAGCACTTTCTTCTTCTTATCCCAAAAAACAAATCTCAGAAGTATAATTAATCGAAAATAAAGTGGATGAATGCATACATTAATAAACAATATGCTTACCAAGGAATCCATGACCTTGTCTCCAACTAAACACTTAAAATCCAGGGGTTAAAAACTGGCAGGCATATCAGAACTGTTCACGGTCCTTATATGTTGTGGCAGTTGAGGAATTCTATTCATAGGCCAAGCAAGTGATGAGGCCGTTGAAGAAAACAGGCCAATTTAATAGATGAAAGAAAGCATGTAAATTCAATAGATGAGCATCTATTACCAAAAAACATTGCAAGTCAGTGAAAAAAGACCCTTGAGCTTGATTTCAACAACACCAATCGTTCAAATGCGTGCGTATCAATTATCAACTTTGGAATCAGTAACGCTACATGATAATAGACCGATGTATAATTCTAGAAAACATGTTTTTTTTTCATAAATTAACAGTTTCCAAGTTTACATTTGTGGAGACATAATTAGTTTCTAATGAAATAGGAATAACACCATACCTTTGAGTTTTGATTGCTAGGGACATGAAACCCTAGATTTCTTCCTCCATTGTTGGGTGAACTGATCGGACTTTGGTTTTGTTGAATCCAAGGAGAGGAAGCACTTCACGCCATTAAGTGCGGTAGAAATTCTCTCTCGTCCCTTTCCATGAAGATGGGTTCTTTCTTGAGTGGCCATGTGATAAAGGATGAGAGGCGGTGAGAGCTTAATGGTGCTGACTCTCTGTACCGGTGTAGGGTAGACGGTGGTGAACCGGTGTAGGGTTGCGGTCCAAGAAGAAGAACAAAGGCGTATTTTTTCTGAGTAGCGGTGAAATTACACGTATGCCCAGAACGTAAATAAATCGGGTGTGATGTATGAGCGGGAAAACTTTCTCTCTCCGGTGTAGTGCTTTTAGGTATAGGATATATCAGAGATTAAATAAAATTGGGTCACTTTAATGAAATGTAGTAATAAAGATCCAAGGGTTTTCAACAAAAGGATTCCCATAGAGGACATAAACAAATATTTTTATATATCGAACAACAGAGTACAGGAGGATGTAGCGCTATGCATAAATAACTAAAATTCAATTGACAACGATGACATTTCTCTATCTCCACAATATTCCAATAAAACAAAAACTGCTCACAATTCAAATTCATCCTCAAGCTTGAGTGCTTCAGCAGCAGCTTCCTCATCTTCATCAATGGCAAAATAAGGATTGTGAGTTTTAGGCCTAAAGTTGTATCCAGTGAACGTATAGAACGCAAGTGTAGCCAACTCAGCAGCAACAACACTTGTCCACAGATATCTGTAGGAAGTAATAGTCTCCAGGGCATAAACCACAACCCTGGTAAAGTAAATGTAGCAAATCACAATTATATAGTACTGCCTAAACAATGTCAGCTTCATCAAGTTCACTGCAGCCTTTCCGTCCGTCTTGGCAGCCTCGCGCAAGTTCTTTATGGACCACACGATGGGAAACAATACCGCACAACAGCAGATTATGTCCACTAGCAAGAAAACCTGTTTCCATGTATATGAGCTCTCACCAAACGGTCCTGTCTCATCAACCACAACCTGAGCCACATTGGCCACGACTTGCAATGGGATGACTACAATCAGCACCTTCTTCTCTTTATCTTGCAGGTATGGCTTCAGGAATGACCAACCAGTCCCAATCAGAACAATCAGAGTAAACAACGATATCCCCTTCAAGAAGCTAAAAATGTAGAACACAACATCCCACCCATGGGCAGTTCCGGTCCTCTTAATATATGACTTATCCTCAGCCTCACACACTAAATTCAGAGCCTTCATAACCACAACAGCAAGCATGAAGAAATGGATTTTATACACAGATAAGCGTTTCTGGTAAAGTGCATAGATCCAAAAAACGGCCATAACCATGTACACCAAGAAAAACAGAAAGTATATAGCCGGTAGAGATGCCTTGCCTGCCGAGAGAAAATCAAGCTGACCCGTTTTCGGATTGAAATTATACATCACTGAGTTAACATTCATGGAAACTTCCACATCCGGGACGCAATTAGCTAACACCAGCGTGAACTGGTTTGCCTCCGATATCTTGAAGGATGTGCTGAACTCATGCGCAGATGGTTTGATCTGATCGAAAGTGAAGACCTTTTTGATAAGTTCCGAATCGAGTGTGCATGGAATTTCCCCGGCTTGGAGCTGCTCGAGGACGTGAATCCAAGCATCCAGGGTACAGAGGAAGAACCCTAGCTGGGAAAGGGGCGGATCGGGTTGACCTTTCCGTACGGAGAATGAGATGCCGGTGACGGAGAGGTTAAGACGGCCGGAGTGTGTGAACCCAAATTCGTCGAAGGGTATGGCGGATCGGGCATCGGATCGGATCTTGGTGGATCGGATCTCAGCAAAAGCGGTGGTAGCAATCAAGAGAGCAAAGAAGAGAGTGGCTAATGAGATGAGGCGAAAACCAGCCATATGTTTCGCGGCGAGCGATGAGTATTGGAAGTGTATGGATGTCGTCTGCAGAATTCAGGCTGCCGGAGCAAACCCACCGACACCGCGATAGTGTAATGGTGAAGTCACGGATGAAGACTCGAAGGCAGTGCTTTGTTCGTTGGTTAGGGGGGAGGGGTTATGGCTGATGATAAACTGCCTGGTTTCTTCGAGAATTAAAAGTGCAAGTACATTTTTAGGTACATCACTACGTAGTATATGGCTGCCAAGTAGACTAATTTCGTCACCGATGACAAATGACCTTAAATTCATATCTGTTCCAACTTTTAATCTCAAGTTTCGCCCATGACCTTTACTCGATGATGTCATCTTTTTACTATTGTTGTCTTTGTTCCTTGTTCACACAAAAAATAATTCGTCACAGGAGAAAACCCTGAATCGAAAAAATCACCCAATCTATTAAGTCGGCGGAAGAACTAAAACTCTAACTAGAGGAACAATGGTAGATGTTACCTTAATTATGAAGTCGGACGAAGGGAGGAAAACGAGCATAGACCGGCAAGCATCAGCGATCGCGATCGGCAAGCATCCGCCCAAGCAGCTTTACGTGCGGTGGCTAGGGCTTCATGCTTTTTAATGATGTACAGATTACAGACACACAGTTAATCTACCTTAGAAAGTCAGTACTTCACCTGCAACTTACTTCTAAATAAAAACTCTGCATCCGATCTACCGAACATAGAAATCTGGCTTGAGCTCTATCTTGAAAAAAATTGAGGCAATTTAATTATAACAACTTTATTTGAATGTTTAGACGCAACTAAATGACGACATCATATTGGCTTTTCAGTTGTCTTTCCTAATCATCTTTATTTGATGACTCGAAGTTCATATTGGTCCCATGGTCATATATTTTCTGCTCCTCTTTATTTTATAACTTGGAGTTCATAGAGGCGTCTCGGTCACTTATCCTGGTCATCTTTATTTGATGAATCGAACATCATATTATGGACAATCGCTCGACTAATCTCCTAACCATCTTTATTTGATGACTAGGACTACTTATCATGCCGAGCTACTCACACACGAATATCGATCTCAGCCATCTCCTCAGCAGATGATGATTGTTGCAGCTCCATGCCTTGATCGAATGGCTCACCTCTTCTGCTTCATTTTAGGGATATTCAGTGTACTCTTTTTACCTTAATAGGATTTTTTCTCACAAGATTTTGTCTAATGAGATTTTTAATGAGACATCTCATCTATGTGGACAAAAGGTGCCGACCCTCGCCCCATATTAGAGTCATCACGCGACATGTACTATAGCGGGGGACTCAGCACCTCCATCAATCGAAGAAGCATAAATTCAAATTTTAACAAGGTTTGTCTCATGCACCGACGTCACCATCACATCATATGCAAATTCAATTGTCACATCAGCAAGTACATTTACGTAGCCCCTCGATCCCGGGATTGGTGGTGATGGTTTCTAGCCTGCGACCTTCGGGTGAGGATTCTCCCAAAGGGTTGCCTCGGTCAGGGCTCGTCAACGAGATTGGATCAATGACATGGGAATCTGGGTGAGGTGCCTCGACAACGGTGTACTCCACCATATCACGACAGATCATCACATAGCTCTACTCCATTTTGCCTCGAGTACTCTCGCCTCATAGAGTGGGGGGACTCTTGATAGAGTATATAGACTCGGACCATCGGTCCCACGACTATTGGGCCTGGACAGCGGTTCACACACGCTTTGATGATCTCATTTATATTGTTGTACAACTCATATGTTTATTTGTACATACTAGATTAGTGTTTTATGTTTATGTCACGACACAACCCATTATTTTTCTATACATGCTCCATGTGGGTGGTCTTGTAAACTCCAATGAATTCTTATTCAATATTACACGTTTATCTTCTTCTCCACTTCTCTCGTTCAACTCTAGATTAATTATATGTTTGGATATCCTTATTATCCAAATATATAAAGGCTACATTAATTTTTGCCTGCGTGTCACTGTTTTATCTTATATTTAAGTCGCTCCCAGCTAAATATTCCACGTCAACCATATAATCTATTTTGAAAATATAACCAGACGTATGACAAAAATGGGATTACGAGGATATCATCGAATTGCTGTTTATAAATGGACGTATTTATATGAAACTTTATTGAGTACACGACCTTATGTGTAGATGTCATAATAGTAGAAGGTTTTAGTTGGCTCTCTTGGTAATTGACAATTGTGGAACTAATGATATATGTATATGATGACATAATAAATATACTCCCTCCGGTTCTTAATTAAGTTCCTAGTTTGACTTCACACATATTAAGAAATAAATTTGACTTTACTGTAGAGTGCACTGTTTGAACACTGTTTAGCACTGTTTGAACACTGTTTGACACTGTTTTGGTGTAAATCATTTGCCAAATAAGAAAAGATTTGAAGTAGAAACTTTAATATCAACCATGCCAAAAAGAAAAGTTAGAACTTAATTACTCGGATGGAGTATATCATACGAGTCGAAAGATAAAATTTGAGACAATTTTCTCATTTAGATAGGTTGCCTATCATAGGCATAGCTCATTTGCGAAGTAACAAGCTTGAATTGGTAACACTTCTAAAAAACACGAGAAGCTACATGATCGCCTTAGAATTCCATCATCTCGCCCACTAAACTCCGGAGCAGTGAAGTGTGGCCACTGGTCACTCCATCCTCCGCCAACAATTCGCATTCCTCCCTTCCGACCATATCACTGTCAAATACCCACCCGGTAAGCACATTCGCTCAATCTCTTGCTAGTTTAAAATTTCCTTTGTTCTCCATTCTACTGTTCTTTTTCTTCCTCTAGATTGCTTTTTTTTTTTTTATAATTTAAAGTTATATTTTAGCCTTCGATTGTTTCGTCGGCTTCAACATTTAGGGTTTGCGTAGAATTTGAGCTGCCGCGGATTCTTTAGCCAATGGATGCGGCGGCTGGTGTTGCTGCTGCACGCGGCATTCCTCTGTCCGTTTCCTCGTCTCAGGCTTCTCGCAAGGAATGGCGCGCTGTATCCGAGCAGTCATTGAGGAATTATACTAATGAGGTACCGGAAACATTCCACTACACCCTCTTAACGACTTAAAGTTTTCTCCTTTCATATTTATTTTCTTTGTTTTGTTTTGTTTTGTTTTGTTTTGCCTTCTAACAAATGTTTCTGAATATATTTGCATTGGAGGTTGATCGGTCAAAATTAGGGCAGTCGGATGAGAGACTAATATACGAGGTAAAGTGGCATTCTAGTTTTGAATTCGAGCACATTCCTTTTGGGTATTATTTTTCTCTTTCGAACTTTCTGAGGCTTTGTTTGGATCTTATTGGGACGTGGATGGAGATGAAGATATTTTTCTGTTTTATCAAAGGTGCAGCAGGGGAGAGAACCTGCTGATGTGGACTTCGGCTCAATTAGTGTTGATGAAAATCTGGATAATGATCTTCTGCAGCAGAGGCTTCATAGTGTTGTGAAACAAAGGGATGAGTTGCAGCGGATGGAGATTGATCTCCGGGCTCAAATCATTACTAGATCAGAGATTATGGAACTGAGGAAAGTTTTTGATGCTAAAGTTAAAGAGCAGGCAAATACTAATATGAAACTTCAGGTACGTACAGTTGTTAGCTAATACCATAGTACTACATATTCTTTAGCAAATAGACACCTGCCCCAAATTATAACAAACTTTCCTGATTGTAAGGATGGCAGCGTTTGCAATTCCATTATTAGCAATATTAAATTTAATGCCAATCATTAATATGAACACATTATAACACTACACTAAAGATTTTTTTTGTAAATCACAAACAGCAAGTGTGATTGTGTGAATATGGAAAAAGTTATTATAAAATAAAATAGTGAATAAAAAGAGTTAAGTTGAAAGCGGATACAAATAAGATGGAACAGAGGGGGGCAAAAGATAACAAACCAGTTTCATGTTATTTAGGTTTGTACTTTTGGTAATGGAATTTGGTTTAATGGACGTGAAGGAACAACTGCGTGAAAGAGACCAGACGATATATGAGTTGGAAAGAAGAATGGAGGATAAAGAGAGGGAATTGCAAGCAATAAGATTGGACAATGAAGCGGTTGGTTTGATCATATGACATCTTTATATATATCCTATTGATTTGGTTTTGAACATCTAATTTGTGTTGTGGGTCTTTTTTTAAATGCTTGCTTTGCATACTGTTTACTTAGCAGGCTTGGGCCAAAGAGGATCTACTGAGAAAACAGAACAAAGAATTGCAAACTTATAGGTACCGTATGTTTGCTGCATGATTGTGCATACCATGATAATGTTTAACTCAATTTAAACTGAAAAGTATGCTATATTATCCTTCTCAATTCTTCTCCGTTTGCTATAGAAAGAGAGAGTGGACTTTGATTCCAGTGAAATAAGTATGCCTGCATTTGAGGTGTTTGATTTGGTTTATTGTACTGCTGGAAGCTGTTACTTGTTTGTGAACATATAAGTAATGAGTTTAAAATCAAACAGTATCATCACCTAATATGATTGTTTCTATTATTGGGGTCTGGTGAGGTATTATTAGCTTTATTTTATTTCAATATGGCTCATATATTTGCAGAATAGAGTGGGACAACTCTGAAACTGAAAGAGCTCAGAATATTAAACAAATTCATGAACTTCAGGAGCATATTCAAGAGAAAGAACGTCTATGCATGGAATTGCAGGAACAGGTCAGTCAGTACACATTTGCCATAGTTTCAGAACATACTTTTCGATGCTCTTTAGTATAGTAACAACACTTGCACAGAAACTATGTGTATAGGTCAGTTGTCAACCATGCTTATTTAATTGCTTTTGCAAAATAGTTGCGGTCTAGAACTTTGCAGGCTGACAGTTTTGAATATTATTCAATGTTCAGAACAGAATTGCCAAAGAAACCATTATTTACAAAGATGAACAGATGACGGAGGCCCATACTTGGATGAGTCATGCTCAGGAGGTCAATGCATTGCAACAAGCTGAACTACGTGAACGAGCAGAACAGTATAATCAGCTTTGGCTAGGTTCTCAGAGACAGGTTATTCAATATTTGCATGATATATTGACATATTGTTGTTTGCTGGCAGACAGATTGGCTTTGTCTTAAATTTGCATTTTGTGATCGTAGTCGGAGATTTATTAGAGTTTTTGTTTTATAGTTTGGCGAGATGGAGCATCTACACTTGCATATACAGCAGCTCCAAAAAGAACTGGCAGAGGAAAGAGAAAAGAATGGTACTTCCATGGATTGTTCTCAAGTCTCAAAAGAGACTTCGAAAGGTACTTCACCGTATGGGCTGAAAATTGGCAATACAATTAATGAGAATGGTAATAATGGGGCTTCTCCTGCAAACTCTGGAAATGTGCCAAATGGAAATGCTGAAATTGCTATGTCATTAACATCTACTGGCAATCTGTCTACTCAGGTATGACTCCCTCTTTTTCTGTACCCGTACAGCGAACCAGCTACATGTTCATTAATAAAAATTTGTATTGTTCATACAATTCTTTGCAAACAATAATGATCTCTATTTCATCTAATATATTTTTATTTCCCTAAATAAAAAGCAATTCATCTATGATGAGTTGATGACTTTGGTTATTGATGTAATCTCATTATTCTCTTGAAGATGGTTGTGACACTAAGGGCATCCGGCAGACTCTGCAACTATGCTTTTTTGCATGGATTTATATTGTCGACCAAATAATTCTCTATGTTAATGTTATTTCCACCTACCTCATTGTTTATGGCAGGAACGTATTAGACTATATGTATAATATAGTCATGGTTGGTAATCTTTTCTTAATGTAATTGATTATTTGAATTAAATGATTGCAATGCTAATACCAACAATCATCAACGTAAAAAGGATACAATTTAATTTTTGTGTGTTTATCGTGGCAATGTGGTGATTTATGATATAAAATTTATAAACTGATAGATATATTTTTGGAAAGTATATGTTTTATTATATCTGTTCCTTTGATTTTATTTTTCTGGAAAGTGCTACATAATAATATCTTTCTTTCCTTTCATGTGTCAGAATGATCTCCATGGTGTTCCACTTGCTCCATCTTTACTTGGGATGCCAACCTTCATTCAACCAGGTCAAATTGCTGCGCTTCATCCATTCTTAGTGCATCAACCGGGAGTCCCTCCTATACCTTCACAGGTTCCTGAGTCTCATCATCATGGGAACTTTCACTCTATACCTGCAATATCAGCTTTCCAGCATTGGCCCAACCAACAGGTAATAGTTTCAGCTGAATCTTTCTATACAACTCTCTGTGTCCAATTGCTTTTATGTTGTGTTAAAGGTTTCAATGGAGGGTGGGTCGCAGATGTCTAGTCACATTCAATATCATCCGCAAGCTGAATCAACATTGCTAAGACCAGAGTCTGCTTACGAGTATGAAACATCATTTAACAGGGAAGTGCCTCATCCACAAATTCCACCAAAGGCTTCTGTTGGAACTTCAAGTGAAGAGGAACAACAGGTAGGCAGATCATTATATGCTTAGTTTGAACTATTAACATTAAATGCCATGTATTATTCCATCCAATGCTTTTTGTATAGGCAGTTCTTCAATCAGTAGGTGAAAACTGCATCCCTAGTCTCCAAACCCAGCAGCATGCATTGCAGCATATCTCTTCTCAATTTCATGATGCTTTGAGGCTTGATCCTCTTCAACACAGTAATGAGTTCCAGGTACTCATTTTTTGGATTTATTGTAAATTCTGTTCTGATTTTAGTATAAACTTATTGAATGAATGTTTATTGGGGTCATTCAATGTTGTCTTCAAGTGTGAATTAATTGGTGATTATCATTATTCTTTTGAATGTTGATTTGCAGGGGGATAATATTAATACTTCGGGTCATGGAGTAGAGTTGGGAGGAGTAATGACTGGTGAAGTTACTTCTGCTAGTAATAAGAAGTCTTTACAAGAAGTTCCCAATCAGACTAGTCATTCAAATCATAATAAAGTAATAGATGCCACACACAGAAATGCTGCTAGTCTGCCTGAAAGATTGGTTTGCGTGGGTCAGAAAAATGTACATGCTGTTGTTGAGAAAGCATCTGAACCTGATAATCTACTCGAAGAACAAGCACTACTGGCTCTCATAGTTCGCACAATTCCACCTGGTTCTAGTGGTAGAATTAGGATTAGCACAACGGTTAGCTACCTACATTGGTTATATCCTTTACATCTGTTATAAACTTTAGGCATAAATGATTGGTTCTTCATGTGATGGATATGCAGCTCCCAAATAGGCTGGGGAAAATGCTTTCTCCACTACATTGGCATGATTACAAGAAGAAATATGGGAAACTTGATGACTTTGTAGCAAGCCATCCTGAAGTAAGTAGTCCTCTCTAAAGAAGATAAAAATATTCAGATTTTTGATGACTTTCGGTTTCCTTATTATAGTAACTCTAATTTTGTATCTTCAGTTATTTCTGATCGATGAAGACTACATTCAACTCCGAGAAGGTGCTCATGAAAAAGTAGCAGCTATATCAGCTGCAGCTAAAGTTGCTGCGGCTGCTGCCGCCACATCATTATCCTATTCGCCGCCGCATCTGCCTTCCGTTGTTTCAGTCACTCCCATGGCTCAGTTAATGAAACCTAAAAATCCAGATCTGATTGCCTCAAGAACTAATAAAGATACACCCTCGGTGGAATTCTATATAAGTGATGGAATCAACTCTGAGAAAAATTATATACATCCCAGACAAAGTTCATCGCCAGGAAAGCCTGGTCCAAATTTAGTTGGCAGGCAGCAAGAAAGGTAATGCCATTATACCAGTATATTTGGACTTGTTAGGGAATTTAAAGTTGGAAAATTCCTTTTGTAGTAGTACATGATATATGTACACATTTTTGTACGCATGCAATTTGTCTAAAAAATGTAAAAAAAATAGATTTTTTGGAAATTATCTGCGTGACGTGTAAAAAAAGGGCGTGCACACGCCCCGACGTATGCACGTATAACGACTTTTTGAAGAGCTGCAATGATATGTTTGTCAGGATCAGCCGGTTTCCAGCAAGCTCTAGAAGATAGTTCCCTTCCTTTTGTAAAGATAATGGTATACTTATCTGCCGGTATTTTCTTATCCCACACGGTGCTTTTTTGCTGCATACATTCAGTATTTTGTATATTTCAAGTGCTTGCTTGTGAATTTGTTTTGGCAGGGATAAGGTTCGGAACTTTTGGTGTCCAATTTTTGAAGTATGAAATCAGGCCATAATACCCGCAAGCATTCTTATTGTGATCAAGATTGGAAAGACGTTCTGACGGGTGTTTTTTTAATACATTACCCACCTATGTAAACTAGGGGTCTTTTGGAGAGCTATTTATTAAAATTGTAGGATGGCTTATTTAGTTAGAAAAATTTTTCTTGGTTACTAACAGTGCTTTTGACCTAATTACCATCTCCATAGCAGTTGCAAATTTATTTCAGAGTTGCATTTTTTTTCTTCATTTTTTTCTCTCTAGGACAACAATAGTGCCTTATTCTATAATTTTCAACAAAAACTCACTGTTTCAAACTCAGGTTTGCTTAAATGATTTACTCTGTTTTTTTTTAAATGCAAGGTTACCTTACTAACAAATGAAAATATTGTACCTATATAATTAATTGATGTCCTTAATTCATCATAAACCTAATTGTAATATTCAAGTTGGTCTATTTATACACGTTAGGAACCTCCAAGAGTCTATGGTAACGTAGAAGCAAAATTCAATTTGTACATGAAATTTACACACAGCATACATTCGTAAGTAATTGTCCGTGCACACAGTTGCATGTGTACACAAGTAGCTCGTGAAACAATTGTTTGTGTACATAGATAATTATGTATGAATGTGTGCCAAGTATTTGCACACTTGGCATACGTTTGTATGTAATTGTCTGTACACACAGTTACATTTATACACAAGTAGCTCATGCAGCAATTGTCTGTGTACAAAGATAATTACTTACAAAAACAAATACGCAATAGAGCAAGTAAATAATCAAACCGGAGAGTGGCAGGTGAAGAAAAATCCTAGCAGTCGTCTCTCTGCTTTCATCAATTCATGTAGAATTCCTTGCGATCTTGGTGTCATCTTCGTCGATAGTCTCTTCACGGATGTCCATCGCGCAGCAGCGTAGGGTTTGCTTCTTAGCCTATTTCTTCGTGCAACCTGGTTTTGTTTTTAGTTTTGTGGGATTTCAGCAAGAACGCAACAGTCACCCATGACAACAATGAAAGTTTTGGTATATGTCTATCAAGAAATGGGCCAAGGGGAGAGGAACAAAGACCTCATTGTTGACGTAGGCGACAAGCTAGCGAAGGGAGAGGACAGATCGGCAGTCCGCCCCCTCCTAATCCACCGCCGTGGAGTGATCAAGAAAATTGGCAGAAAGAAGTTTGAAGTATTTATCAAATTTTTTATTTTTTGTGGTCTTATTTTCACACTATTTTGGTTCGCCGATGTCTTTAATGTTAGATCTATAATAATATTTTTTACTTTTGGATCGTGGCAAATTCATTGATCATGATTGGTTTGCAATTGCCCAAATGAGGATTAGCAAATCCTATTGCTCCTGAGTGGTTGATAGTTTCTGAGCCTAATCCCAGATTCCCAGAGCGTATGATGGAATAATGTTTACGGTCTTTCTTGCTTGTCTACTGTATCTAGTCTTGTTGTGTTTGGTTGCATTTTATGATTTTAATATAAGTCAATTTCTCTCAAAAAAAAAATACTACGTAGATAATTACGTTCAAATGTGTATCAAATATGTACAAATTCTGTGTACAATCAAAATTTATTTGCAACAATAGCGGTCTATATCAAATTCATCCCATCTTACATAACAAATGTTAATCTTGCCACGCATATAAATAAATAGCGTTAGGTGATTTTTCATTATTATTCACTAGCCTACTACTACGTGTATATTATTTTTAGGTGACAACTCCAGTACCTTTTTAAAAAACGGGATACCTTACCTACCATTCATTTGATTGGACCACATCACTTTATCATTTTAAATTTAGATTTAAATAATTCAACTGCTACATTCTCAATGGTCCATGTGGACAAAGGTATGATATCTTATAAATACTATAGAATTTACCTTATTTTTATTTCATTTTTGCTAATAAAGCTACCGTACTTGACATCTAGTCAATGGATAAACGAGGCCCTCCAATTTTTATCCGAATTTTATCCCTGCTTGATTGGCAAAAACAACTTTACTATTGATCTTTTGCCCAAATCTTTACTATTGATCCAAACTTTATTGCCCAAATCTGCAACCTATACTGATAACAAAAACACTAAACTGATCAATACCACCGCCACTTGTCATTATGAACAAGCTACAGTAAAACCACATTTCCCTGAATACATACCAAACTTTTTTAACAGTACATGATTACGGTTAGTCGGTACAATCACCCATACAGACATACACCAGAAGATTATTATTCCTCCCTTCCAGCCCCCGCACCAGCCGCACCAGCACCACCAGCACCTTGTCCTGGAGCCATTTTCCCGAGGCCATGGCTGTTGGCTTCCAAGGGAACTCGCATAAGTTGATGCATGCCATTGTTAACTGCGGCGCCCCCCACAAAACCATGATGGCCTTGGAATTGTTGTTGCTGCTGCTGATGATAATGGAGCATCTGTTGTTGCTCTTGAGGAGATGGGAAACCCCCACCATTATTATTGTTATTATTACTATTATTAAGCTGGAATGGCAACTTTGGAACAGCAGCAACTTGTTGCTGCTGCTGGTGAAGTCCAGCAGGACCAGTAGTGGCTTGAGTTTGCTGCATCTGTTGAGTAGCAGCAGCAGAGCTTGGGACCACTACCTGCTGACAACACCACGAAAGCTTATCAGTGAAATGAACAATTGCACACCAAGAAATCGAATGGACATGTGATCACAATCATAAACCACCCCCTCCCCCACACCTGCGGTGAGGAGTTCACTGCTCCTCCTTGCGCTGCTGGTTGTTGCGCATCGGCAATTGCAGCTAGATACATCAGATTCTTCTGAAGGATAGCTTGATACCTACAAAGTTAATAAAAATTTGTTGTTATATGTACCAGTAACACAAGTAGAAAAAGTAGGGATCTTATTGTCTTTTGGAAATGAAAATGCAGGGAGAAGTTGCCAAATTGGAAAATGGAGCAATCAATAATAAACATCCACAGAAAAAGTGGAACAAGTAAGAATGTTCAAATGAAGTACTTACAAATAAGCACACATTCATTGACATGATTTTCACAAACACAAAACTCTCAAGTAATTCACAATAAAAACTATAATTGCAAGAATCAAGTAGAGAAGACATATGGTGGACTAACCATAAGTAGTCTAGAAAACAAAGTCGTTTATGATGAAGTTTCAATCCAGCAGAGAAGAAAGTAGAGGAGTAGTAGAGAACAAAAGATTAAAAGTGGGTGGAAAATGGAGTAATGGACATCTAATTTCCTAAGGTTTTGATTGGATTGAGCCTTTAAATAACTAATGAACTAAAAGAATACAACAGCTCGTAATGAAAGCAATTCTTATAGGCATAAGCCCCATACACCTCATGAGGCTTATGTAAGGCCCTTGTGAAGCGTAATTTTATATAGTTTCGCCTGAAGGCATAAGCCCTTATGGGTGCTAAATGCTATACTCTAGCACTTTTTAGGTAATAACCACCTAGTCTTATTGCAATAACCATAAACTCGTAATGATACTACAGAAGGTAACGGTCACATATATAACATAAAACTGAAATCTTCAAGAGTTAAGAAACAACAACTTACTGTGCACATTCTGCAAGTTTTCCAAGGTTTTGATTTTCTAGTATCGCCAATATTAGATTTTTGTTATCATCCAAACACTGCATCAATAGAAGGATATTAATGAATGTAACAGTGAATCATTTCCTAGAAAGACATGACACTATGAGGTCAGTTAATTTTTGTTTTTATATAAGCACCACAAGGATCAAAGGAATATAGAAAACTGCTGCGGAAAGTTATTGCTAAGTAGGTTCAGTCAGAGCCCATGCAAAGCGCGGTGATAGTGGACTGCCTTGTCATACACTCATACATAGGAGAACACGCATTCATGTAAGAGGACGAGCAGTCATGTGCAATATATGAATATAATTTATTATACTCTATAATATAGAAATAAAATGTATGAAATACTAGTTATAGATATTGATTCAGAACAAGAGTAAAATATGTATATTTCCAGTATGTCAGAGCCCATGCAAAGCGCGGTGATAGTGGACTGCCTTGTCATACACTCATACATAGGAGAACACGCATTCATGTAAGAGGACGAGCAGTCATGTGCAATATATGAATATAATTTATTATACTCTATAATATAGAAATAAAATGTATGAAATACTAGTTATAGATATTGATTCAGAACAAGAGTAAAATATGTATATTTCCAGTATGTTTAACTACCAAAGCTTTGTCAAAACCAATGATATGATTCATATGATTGCTATCTAAACACCAACAACATCCAATCATTAGTCCCAAAAGATTTTGGGGGTCAACTAACATGAATCGATACACAATATCAGAGCCAAAAGGAAGTAAAAAATAAGAAAGATAAGGTATGATAAACAAGATAAGAAATGAAAAAATCATAAACATAAAAACTGAACTACACCAATATATTAAGAAATAAACATGAGAAAGAAGAAAAGAAAAAGAAATGGCCAACTTTATGGGGAGCAAATGAGCCCCAACATTAATCTTTGGTTTCTTTCTCTTTTATCATTCAAATTATTTTCTATCTAAAGTCTGATGCAGCTATTTCAGGAAAGTAACATGACGGATTGCCGGGTCATAATTCATTTTGAAAAAGAATCAACTTTGGATTTTTTTGGAGTTGACAGACTCCAAACCACCTCATTCAATGCCCAGCGCTATTCAGGATGCCATCCATGGCTAGCATTCTACACCAGAGCCTTAGTTTGCCTAATCAAATCATAGTTTTAACAAAGTAATGAAAAAGTATAGGAAAAATAACAGTACTTGATCTAGATAATTCAACTTGGACAAAACTTTGGATCATAATTAAAACACAGTATTACATGATGTCAATATTGTACAAAAGATTGACCACAAATACCATCATTCTATGAACTGACACACTGCAAAACTGCTTTTCTACACAGAACTATCATCCTATCATAGCTCCTTATTAATAATATTTGATTCATTTCCACCAGAAAATAAAACAAATAAATGTAAGCACATACTCTACACCCACTTTTAGCAGGCCATTGGATTACATAAGCATCCGAAAGATACGGGAAAAAGAGTACCTTTTGAATCTGTTCCGTGGTGACAGCATTAAGTGGAAGCTGAGGGACAGAGTTAAGAGTTGGCTGCGGCTGCATTTTTTGGCCCTAAAATTGAGTCCGATTTTGAAACGATCGTATCGTGGGTGGGGTACGAGGAAACCCTAAACCCGTGGAAATGCTTTTGTTATAATAAAATTACTATTAAAATTCAGGGCTTTCACTGCTTTGACGATGTGTTTGGCAACTGGAGAGAGTAGGACAGATCTAGAAGGCACTCGAGGGTGATTAAACAATTCGCGTTCGACTCAAATTAGGGTCGGCTTGTCTGGTCTACTGCATACACTTTCAACTTGAAGAGCTCCTCCTTTCACATTACTAAAATGTGATGAAATTGGGATTGAAATCTCTAAAAGCCGATGGGCAACACTCAAAATGGTTGAATAGGGGGTTATTTGGTAACAGATTTGTTTACTTTTAGCGTTTTCAATAAGTGAAAAAATTGTTTGATAAATAGTTGTTCGGTATCAGCGTTTTAGACGAAAACGTTGGAATGAAAACGCTGTTAACAGGAGAGTTTTGAGTTGGCATTTTAAAAAATAGCGTTTTCTACTAATTTTATAGACAAACATCTTAATTACCAAACATCTTCTGACAACCCGCCAACTTATTCCGCTGGTCGGACCCGCAGACAGAATCCGCTATTGACAACACGCTAACATAACCCGCTATCTGCCAAAAGGTTCTTATACTGTAATTTTAACAAATTAGGCAGAAAAGTAATTTTAATCTTACTTATTTTAATTATTACACAAATCAATATCTATTGTTTGTTAAAAAATGTTCTCATAAAGCTAATAAGTTGAGAATTGAGGTTACCAAACCGAATTTCTTGATAAAAAAGAATAAAACAAAGAAAAATATATGAAAAATAGTTAAATAATTCTGCTTAGTGATTTGAAATTAATTAAAAAGAACAACTTAAGATCTTATTTAATTCAATCCAAAGTTATTTATTTGATAAAAACTTGACTAATAAGACGAGATCCGCAACTATGAATTCTCAAACGAAATGGAAATTAACTCGTCATAATTGTAGATTTGGATAAACGTAAGAATGAAATCAATTTAATTGCTAAAAAAATGCAACATTATGATGATGAATATGGATAACTTTTAATAACAATCCAATGTTAAAAGTGCACTAATTGCTTATAAACAAAATGTGCGTGAATGAACATGTATGTTAATGATTGTGTACGCCACCTTCAATGGAGTAGGGAAGGAGTCAGTGGAGTTTTTGAAGACGTTAAACCAGTTACAGAGCCTCACAATTTATTGGGCCTAATTTTTTAAAAATTCATGAGTGTTATGCAGTAGTAACGAGTTGTGTTACTTTAAATTGAGTATCAAATAACTTTAAAAAAAAAATGAATTGCACTGCTTAATGAGTATTCAATTGATATGAGTATAGACATTTAGATTGAGTTTTTTTTACATTTGAAGTCGGGGCCTCAAAATTCCTCGGACAGTCGTGGAAGGAGTGGAGAGGGTTTTGGCCTCCTAAACAAATTGTGCGCGTATGTATATATACATACAGTTTCTTTTTAATACTTTAGCCCTCTGGATAGTAAATATGGGCATAAGGACCAACCACCATTGTAACTCGCATGTAATATAACACATCCATATTTGTGTTTGGTTTAAAATATGTGTACAAAGACTTCAATGGTTGTTATCCAAATCGATTATTTGAGCCCCTCACCAAGCTGGCTCTTCTTAATTTGTTTTACTTAAAGCTTTTAAAGGGTAAGAGGTCATAGAAACATCTCAACGACCCTCTTCTATGATGACACATTTGTGATTTGTCCCATTATGATGTGCAACAAGAAGCATCATTTTTCATTCTTTAATACTATGTAGTTCACAGTGTCACACAATATTTATGGTGAATGAAGGCAGCCTTTTTTACCATGTCAAAATAATATTGCATTCATCATAATTGGTTGAGAGTAAAGGACTAAAGGTGGTACTTCCCTCAGCCTCTACACACTATTAAAACTAAATATGACTAACCAAACATAGGCTTTAACTCGCACTTACTACACCTACCATTTGTTCTATACTTCTCATCAATAAGGTTTGGTTTTAAGTTAAAGATATATACACGCAAAGGTAAACCAACTGTCCAACTTAATCAAATGATTGGGTAGCCTTATCATTGATATAAGTCATACGAGAAAACATCATTTCTAATTAATCTCAACATTCTCAATTACATTTTTAATTAATAGAACATGATAGAGTATACGAACTCAGACTCACGGCTCAAACACTTAAGAACATATGCAAGCAGCCCAAATAAGTGACTAGACTAAATCCTTGGCCAAGACTTCGTTTGGCTGAGGGATAGCCTTCACAAATCATCCCAAAAGACAAAGTAGACTACTTAAACGGACCGTTCATGACCGAGCTTCGGTTTGTACAAACCCTTCAGTCTTGATGCATACATACATTGTATGTATAATAATACAGAATGGCAACAAGAACGAGAATTTGTGATCCATCATTCACTACTCAGCAGTTCTCATCAAGCGCCATTATCACATTCTTCCATGTATCGCTTAAATTATATGTGCATTTAATGCACTTGAAATTTTTATTACATGCATAAATACCCCCTTGGGGCAGATGTGAATGGTCTGAAACCTCATTAATATATCTTATATTTTCTCTATATTTGGCTCTCTCTTCTCTTTAGATACCACTAATGGTATTCCAGTGAACTATCAAAGCATTTCCGCAATGCAAATATGAAATGTATGTATTTTCTGACAATATTTTCTCTTTAAATAGAAAGATATCTAGTCTAAAAATTCACACTTAATACTCATATATGCCCGAGCGTCAATGAGCCTCAAAGTACATACAAAGTTCAACTTACAAAAATGTGAATATGTGAAGTTACCAAAACACGAAGGGGTTAAAGTTCCCAATAAACAACCATAAACATAGATTGAGTATATTTGGAATTTGAATTTAATTTAAAACTACATTGTTGAAGATCAAATTGGGTTAAAAAAGGGAGTTGAAGACTAATTTTATATCAAAGTGGCACTATTGAGGCATGCCCTGGGTATTAAACTAGTATTAACTACTCCGTATGTAGAAGATTAAAGGATTTTGAATTTCTAAATACACTACAAATCGACAATATTAGGATTGATTAAATGAAATATTGATGTCCATTACCAGGTAGACTAATTGTTATTGTTACTCTCCTGAGTATCCTTGTGGGGATATAGATAGTGAATTGACAACATAGAATTGCACAAAACTGCCCTTTAGCGTTTAAAATTTGTCAATCGTTTCATTATTTAGGGTAAATTTATGAATCTCACGTAAGATTTAGTAATGGACTGATGGCCTCTTGACGAAGGCCGCATAGGATCAACTCTAGACAATTGATTGCAAATCACATTCATAATTTCATTTCATACCCTAAAAGGAGTAAAGGCCTAAAAGGGCATTTTTATTATTTTTTACTCTTATTTTAATAATTTTAGACATCTACCCCTATTTCTGTACCGTTAGTCCGTTATTATTCTACTCCTATACGAGTCGTAAATTACACCGTACAACCGGCTGTACGGTGAGCACCGTACAACCGAGTATTTTTGAAATTAAATTCAACTTGCAGGGTTAAGATCGAAGACCTTCGTATCCTCTGTACGCAGGCTTGAGTCCTCGTGTCACTCGTCCCAGGCTTCGCCGACCATCGCTGCTACCTGCTAGATCCCCGACGGCCACCTCTCCCTGCTAGACCTTCAGAGTTTTGGGATTGAGTCAATCGATGACTATGGCTTTGGGGTTGAAACAGATAAGGAGATAGGGATTTGGGGTTCCTAATTTAGTTGCCTCCTTTGCAATAGAAATTGCAGATAGACATCAGATGAAGAAATTGCTAGGACGATTGTTAGTCATGGTTTACTTTGTTTAAGTACGATAACTAACAAGCTCCAGGACAGTGCTTGTTTCGACATCCGATGAAGGCCTACTGAGTTCATATTTCTTGTTGACGAATCTGAAATGAGTTTATATTAAACACAAATAAGTATAAGCTTAAAAAGAATGAACATACACAAATGAATATCGAGCATATTAAAAATGAGTTTCACATAAAACTCCAATGAGTATACAATCGAAAATGAATGAGCATACACAAATGATCTTTTGAATTTTTTATACTCATTTTGTGAATTATGTATGCTCATTTGGTACCTCTTTATACTCATTTCAAACGTACCATACTTATGTTAAACTCAAATGAGTATAAGGCCAAAATGAATGAGCATACACAAATGGACTTTTAAATTTTTTGATACTCATCTTGTAAGTTACATATGCTCATTTGGTGTTATTTTATGCTCATTTAAAAAGAACAGACTCGATGCTCATTACAATCGCATAATGAAAATCATTGGTCATACTTCTCAAGTTGATGCTCAATAAAAATGTCTTGATGTTCAATTAAAAGTACTTATGATTTTCATATCAATTCTCATTATGATGCTCAATAAGTTATGTATGCTCAACGGGTATTCATGTTATGCTCATTTGTAATATGACATACCAATGTATATTTTCAAAGTATCATATTACATTAAATTCACATACTGGAGTTCATAAGAGTTGATTATAGATATAATTTAATAAGTTTTTATAAAGAAAAAAATAAGGAAAAGAAAGTAAATTCGAAGAGATGAAGCAGAGATCATGATGCTCAATGTTATGCTTCTAATGCTCAACAAAATATGTCACTTGCTCACTATGTGTGGTTTAATACTCATTTAATACGAGACGCGAATTTCAAATAAATTACAAAAATGCCACCGGCTATACGGTGAGCACCGTACAACCGGTGGTACCATATACGCTTCCTATACGAGTAATCTCCTCTTATATATATGAACATTTAGGTGAAAATATGAGCCATCCTTAAACAAATAAAAATGTTTAAATTTTAAAAAGTTGTAGACAAAGAATGTAAACCAATAAAATGATATAGGATTACGACTTACGAGTGCCAAAGCAATAAGTTAGAGAAACCGTCCTAACCTATAAAAAAACCGCCCAAACCATAGTATACTTAGCAGACTCATATTGGCCCTAGAAAATTTGAATCCAAGTGCAAACATTCCAAAATGAGAAAAAATGTTTACAATAATAATTATTATTATCATTATATTGTTGTTGTTGTTCTTATCGGTAGTAGTAGTAGTCATACTTGTCACGGCGGTAAGGCGAGGCGCGGCACTAGCTGACCGCCTTATCGCCTAGGCGACAATTAGGCGACTAGTCACACCATATGTAATATTTAAATATGTAAAATAATATATTTAAAGATATCTCCAATTTGTAATTTT